TAAAAGCATTTGGAAGACATGAATAAATACAGATTGTATGCAAATTGGTGTCCTCTTTTGGGGTGATTTGTTTCTTCTGTGCTGGTTCATAAGTGGCTTCTCCATCTTCATCACAGTAACCACCAGGTTAGCCTTCCTAGGGAGGTTGGTCCACATGAAGAAACTACTGACAGAGCCTGGCACTTTGGTCCAACAACATACAGAGGGTACCAAGTAACTGACCAAGGTTATTTCTTAAGACATAGGCAGCGAATTTATTTACAGTCACAGATGAGAAAAATTAATAGAGATAAAATAGCAGTAAAAAAATTAAAGCAAGATCTATGCAATATTTTTGCTCAAGTGGGTGACATTTTTCCTAATCTGCATTGCCGTCATTAAAAATTTGGCAACATTTCCAATAACATGAAAGAATACATCCCTTAAACAGATGGATACCAGAGGGGAAGAAATATTCCCATACAGATCAGTTATTAGTGGTTTAATCGATTTCTTGCTGTTTTCCCTTTAAAAGCTACAATATAAGAGAACATGATCCACTGTTTCTCCTGTCCCAGCACAAGAACTTGCCCATTTATTAACTGGGGCCTTATTAAATTGTCCTTTTAATAGTACTGATGGTGGCACCTTAAAACAGACAAGAGTGAATGCTCTTCTGCACTTTTCTTAAAAGACAAGAAAAAGAAAGTCAGAGTAAATATTAATACGGTTTGCTTCTCACATTCGCAACCTTACACTAGCAGGAAGGCTGTTCCTTCCCATGCCATTGCTTGCAGGTGACATCCACCTTGCAAGCCTTCTTCTCCTTGCTTTGAATTATTTGCATTCTCCTCCGCGTCCCTTTCTGTCTGTCTGCTCCTCCTTTCTGCATTTTCCTTTCAGTTCACAGCAGTTCCAGGGGTATCTGTTGTGTGCATAGCTTGGGCAGTACTTGTTGGAGTGCCTCTTCCAACCATGGACAGCAGGCTTAATCTCTGGGGACGTCCTCCAAGTGCCAACCTCACAGAAGGCTTGGAGAGTGGCCCCTGGGGCGGGCTTTCTGTGTGGTGGCCCCCACCTTTGGAACAAGCTTCCTGCTGCAGCCCACGGTGAAGCCAAACTTGCCGTTTGCTCGGTGCCTGGCCAAGAAAGCCCTTTATGCGAAGGCCTTGAAAGATCTTGGGGGCTGAGGGGATTATCCTAGTAATTCTTTCCTCTGCAGGGTCTTTTTTGCTGTATTTTTGAGCTCTTTTTGAATTAACATTAAATTCACTTTAACATTTTTGATTTTATAGTATTTGTATTGCATTTTATCGTTTTCTTTTATGCATTGCTCTAAACCATCCCGACAGCTTTGACAATGATGTATACAAATAAATAAATCAATACAGAGCTTAGAATAAGCCAAGTGTTCTGGTCTAGGCTATCCTAGACTAACAGCTCAGTGTAAGTACCAAAAAGGCATTCAAACCCTTTAGGTATGGCTTTCACCAATGATTAAACAGGATTAACCAACAGCGTCTAGTCAAAGAACAATGAAATCAAATGCAAAGTAAATGGAGATCTGAGCTAAAAACTATAATTCCTATCAATAGTGCTATTTTCATTTCTATACTTCCCAGTAACTGATGCTCTCAGGGTAACCCACAACAATTAGAACTCCTAGAACAACCTGATGTCTTTCCTGCCCGACTAATTGCCACACGTTCCTACTTTCAACTGTCAGCTTGCACATAACATGCACCAGCCATCCCTCCATACACCTTTTTAATTCCCTCCTCAGCTCTTTTTCCTTGTATGTCTTTTTTTTTCTTTTTAGTTCTGATATTGTAAGCTTGCAGGCAGACTTGTCTCTTACTGACTGCTGATAAGCTGCTCTGAGAGTCTGTTTTGGCTGAAGGTTGGGTTTAAAACTACTTTAAACAAACAAACTTCCCTTCTCATCTGTCTTAATAGCCCATAGCTGAGAGAATCTGCTCCCTTCCAAACACAGTCCCCAAATGCACACTGTCAATCTGAGTTATGGCTAGTTGGAAATATTCAAATAATGCTTCCTATAAACAGCAAGTCATGTGGTTTTCCTTTCCAATCTAAAGTTGCATTGCATAGGAACAATGGCCCGTCCATTCTCGGTGTTACAGTGCTTACATTGACTTTCAAATAGGGTCACTGGTGATGTATTGGCTTCTTTGAAGCCCTGCTTTGTCCCTTCTGCCAATCTCAGTGTTTCCACTGGGCTGAAGCTCATCAGTCGCATCCAGCAGCCCCATCATTCAAGAAGAATGGCAAGCAGTCAGCCAAAATAAAAGATCTTCCTGGAGTTCCACCTCGGCTCCTGACATTCATCAATATTCAATGCAATTTTGGTTGAAGAACCATCCTGCCCATGGGCTTCTTCTCCAAGAAGCATTGTTTGGCTGATGCAAGTTGAAGCCCGGTGGGACCTGGCAGTGGAGATCAGCCAAGCCATTCTATGACAAAAGGCTCAATCATTGCATAATAGCACTGATGCAGCACTCCTCTTTACACACTCACTCAAAATCAACTGCACACTCAATGGTGCTTGCTTCCTAGCTCAGGGTTCTTGCACCTCTTTCTGTCTCTGTGGGCCAGATTCAGCAGTCAGAACTGGAAGTCTTGAGAGCTGCATTGGGACCAAAAGCGAAGAGAGTGGGTCAAAGACCAAGAAGATGGAGCCAAAAATACAGCACTCTCCCACTCACGTATTGTAGTTTAATGCAAGGCGATTTGGTTTAGAGCACTTAATGCAAAGGAGCTGTCCATGGTTCTGTTCCCTGCCCTACAGTTGCTTCAGGACCATGGATAGCTCCTTAAAAGCTACAATTAAAGCCCAGGGTGGATGCACCGTACCACTGCCATGGGAACCCCCAGATCCCACAGGAGAGATATTCCAAGCCTTTGGAATGCTGCGGGGTGTGAGGAAGGGAGAGCACAAAATTTGAAAGCCACAAAGTGATTGCTGGCTGGGTGGGGACAAAGTATGGCCCTTGAGGAACCAGCAGGGAACTTCTGCGGCAGCTTGGGAGAGCTAAATTGCAAGGCTTAGCACATGAATGTAAGGGTAGAGGATGGAAGAAATGTTTGTATTAAGCAACCCTTGTTTCTTTTCCTGGAATTAGAGATGATCGTGCTCCGGTCCCTCCCCCTGTGGCCCTAAATTTATCCCCCCAGCCCCACGGATGCCCTGACCTTCCCATTCGCCCAGAACTCCACATAACTTCCCTTAGTGGTTTTATGGAAAGATCCAACAGCACGAAGGATTAAACAGAGTCATCCAGGATCCCAAGGCTTAACTGCGGAGGGACAGGGCACAATCTTCTAGATCTCCTATCCATGCAGACTCCCTGCTCTTCTGATTCCCAAATCATGTCAACTGTGCAGGGAGATACAATAGTCAATAGAACTGTAAGTTGCTGAACGATCCAAGAGAATGGTGTTGTGCTCCTCTTGTTCATCTCTCAGGAAATACCCTCCTGCAAAACGACCAAGGTCATTTCCATTCCAAAACCAGGCCTAAATCCCAACTTAAATAGATCTCGGCAGTCCATTTCATTTAAGAGTGTCTTGAGCAGGCAACTATTCAGGCACCTGGTCCAGGAAGGGCTGTAAATTTTGTGGTGAGCACGTGTGTTCTCAACAGGGGCCCCCGCAGGCCTAGAAGCACTCCGCTGGCTTCTGCGCACAGAATGCAACCGATTATATTTCTATTAAGCTTGACATTGCCATTCTTTGTGTAACACATACTGCCTAAATATGACGCTTTTGTATGCCGCATAAAGCAAATGTAGATGAACAGAAATCAAAGTGGGTCCATCTCAGTACTGTTCCAACACTGTGCTGTGGACAGTGGGTTGCAGTCATCTTGCGGGATCCAAGTTGGGGAAGGATGCCATGGTTCACCGCAGAACTCATTAAGATTACAAACCAACCCACCCATCACTTCAAGCCAGCCTCCCACAACCTAGAACCCTCCAGATGCCTGGACTGCAGCTCCCATTGTACCCAAATAGTACGGTGGGAGGTTTCGCTCAACCTACTTAGAAGGGTTGTCCTGAAGTAGTTTAGTACCTCATGGACAAGAAGCAAACTTGTGCACTTTCTTCCTCCCACCATCCTTGCCAAGAGGATGATTCTGAAAGCTTTACACATGATGGACCATGGCTTGCTTTGTTTTGTGGACCCGGAACTGTGATTACTCTTAGGTATGATTTCAGCAACTTTGGCTTGTTGGAAACTGAACTGATCTTGAAATTCTGATGTTGTTTATACATCAGTCTATTGCTGAATCACCGGAGAAGACAATAATGCCAGGGGAAGTCAAAGGCAGGAGAAGGGAAAACCAGATAGGAGATGGGATCAGTTCCATAGTGGAAGTCACAGCCTCAAGTTTACACAAGCAAAGTCAGGAAATTTGGAGAGCATTCATTATAGGGTTGCCGTAATCAGAGAAAAGCTGACCACATGTAACAACCATTTCAGCAGGTATTTTTTGATGTGTTGTGTCATTTCTTTTAAATCGAATGTGTATTGTTTGCAGCTGAAGATACTGTAGTTTTCAAATTGTGAACTGGTGAGAGAAGTTTGGACCTATTTTTGGATAATGTTGATCATGGAAGATCCAGGGCTGCTACATTTAGTCAGGTTTTGTTTTGAACAGCCATTTCGTTTTATGTTGAAAATACACGATTGTGAGATACCCAGTTGATCAGCTGGTTCTTTGACAGAAATCGAAGTTCTGCTCTTCTTCTCCCAGGTGAGCTACAGTTTGCTGTGGTTCATTCCACCTTGTTCACATCAAGCTAACCCAAGGCTGGAGAACACGTATCCCCCCCACCCACCCCGAGACTGTTGCCTGCAGCTCCCACCGGCTCTAAGCATTCTGGAGAGGGACTGTGGCAGTGACAGAGCAACTTCTTCTGGAGGACTCCAAGTCGGCAGCAAGTTGGAAATGCTGCCCATACTTCATGCAGTCGTGGAACACTGGTTATGGACACACAGACTGAAACAACAACATTTTGTCTTTATTAGGAGTTCCCATGGTAATATAACACAGAGGTTGTAAGGAAGAAAAACACAAGACTTGTTTTATGCCACTATTTTCACCATCGAGGGAATGGTCAAAACAGTGGTACTTCTTTTGTCTACACACATGATCAGCTTAGCACTTACAGCTCCTTCACTCATGTTCACAAGCACAAATCCAAGGGTTAAAATCCAGCTAGTAGTAAATTCTACATGGTTTTTTAATTCTTCTTTCCTTTTCCTTTAGAGCATCAAGTCACTGCGGTAAATTATTTCCATGTTCAATGTCATTTCTTTTAAGCATTTACATATGACAGTCATTAAAATAGACACACAAAGTGAGCAAGCTCCCACAGGAAAAAACATGCTTACATAACCTGCAACATTTTTTTTTAACTTTTTCTCTCTTTTTTTTCCCCTAAAGAACAAAATGACTCAAACGACGACGATAATAATAACGGATATGGGGGGAAAAAAAGGAAGACTGAAGTGAATAGCAAAGAGCTGCGTGTGTTTCATGGGACTCAAACAAACACAATCATTTTCTTTAATTATTTGCCCTCCCCCACTTAAAAACCCCACACACAACTTGCTTAAAGTCATCATGAAAACACCAATGGAAAAACAAATAAAATTTTAAAAATAGCTGCAAATATATATATTACACTTACTAAATACTTTTTTCCTTAATAAAAAGTGCAATCTCAAGCAAATAAAAGAACCAAAATCCAACTGAAACTGTCTGGAATGATAAACTGCATCACAGTCGGAAGAGTGAAAGGGCAAATACAAGAGAAAACGGACTAGGATCTCTCTGCAGCTTTTGGCATCTGGCTGCCAGCTGACCCAACCTATTTCTGGCAGAGCACTGGATTCCACCACCTGGAATACAGGAACCATCCAACCCCAAAGCCCAGATCCAGCATGGCCTCCACCAGCAGGCTAAATGTGAAGGAAGTAGGAACAGGCTCAATACCCTTATGGTGCTCCAACATGTCTACGTCTATAAAAAAAATAAATAAAATGGGCCATCTACTGCTCTCTGCGAAGCTGCCAGGGGGCGCAGGGACACCGGCACATCTTTACAGGGGAATCGACGTCTTTTCCATTAACAGCTGATAGGCAGGATGAATGATGCCAGGGCTGAGCCAACAGGTGCGGTGGCCAGGTATTAATGGCTTTTTCCCTGGGCCAGTCCAGTTCCGGAAACAGAAGCCCCCGAGCTGGTCCAGAACCACCTCCCTGCCAAGCGCCCATTGGAGTGCGGCAATCTGAGCAGGGGACTAAGCCTGGGTGGCCCGTGGGTGGCAAAGAGATGGCCCGGAGCTGCTTCAGACTAACAGCTGGGAAGGAAATCCCATTTGTGATACTTGCTTGCTAATACATGCATGCATGCACGCACGCACACACACACAGCACAAGTGTAAAACACCTCATACATACAGAAGGAATGTTTGGCACCCTCTCCCTTTTCCCTGCTAGCTTTCTACTTACAGGAAGTTTTTTTTTACCTACCAAAGCATTAAAAATGGAATCGCCCACCAGCAGTCTAAAACCAGCACTCTTTGCTCTAGCAACCTCCTCCAAACCCTTTTCACACCCTAAATTGCAGTGTGTTTAAATCGGGGCATTCAAGATTCCCGTCCCTACTGTGCTCTGCTCCTGCAATGGTTTTCTCTGTGCTCCTGGCCTGCCACCCAACCTTCCAAAGAGCTGCTGCTTTATATTTGAACCGTTTTCTTCACCACGGAAAGTAAGTGGTCAGAAGCAAGCTGCAGCAGAGCACCCCAGTCTGAGACGAAGCTTTGAGCGCCCCCTTTACAAGTCCCTCGTCAAACACCGGATTTCAAGGTAAGCACACTACCCTAAACGGATCCCATTTTTTCTCCCAAAGAATTGGCAAATGTCTGTCTGGATGTAAGGGGGAAAATATCAGCTAGAGAACAACTGCAGAAAGGGACTGGCCAAGCCAAAGAGGGCATGCGGTTGTGAACATGTAATACAACATCCACAGGCCTGAAACCAGGGCTGCTCATGTTAGGCCCTGCACCTGGATGCTCGGGAAGAGATCTCTGTGGTCTACAAAGAGATGGAGTTCTGTTTCCATGGGGTAAAGAAGCAGGAGACGGCCCTGCCTTGCAGGACAAGGTCACTGCACCTGTTGGGGGCTGCGAGTAGCTCCTGAGCACCGGGAGGGCCATTTGGAGAACACCAAGGGCACCAGGTGAGGTGCCTCTGCATGAGGGCAAACACAGGTGAAGGATTACGCTGTGACTCAACACCTCATCGGCTGGGTAAGTGCACTGCCATCTGCTGGCGAAAGGGATTCAAGTGGCAATGGCAAGGGGGACCCAGCTGTGTCGTTGCCACAAGCCCCACGGAGGTGGCCACCTGGCGTAACAGAGCTCCCTTTCCTGCCACGGCCCCTTACATGCACGGTGGGCCAGGCACGCAGGCCATGGCAATGCAGCGTGTCTCTATCTCCAGGGGGGCTTTCTTCTCCTTGATCTCCGAGGCTGCCTTCCTTGACTTGGAAAGGCGGGGCTGGAAAGGAAGGAGAGCCCCTCTTACTGCCCCTAAGATCTTGGCACAGCACCTGTGCAGGAGAGGACGGTGGAATCCAGGCTCTGCCGCGCCTCTGGGTGTGCCCCTTCAGTCTGCAGCCGTGGCAGGACTGACCTGAGCACTGCATGGTTGGGAAATATGTCTTTTTGGCCCAAGCTCCACAGAAGGCAGGAGAAACTCAAATGTCAATGAAGAAGGGGTGTCATTTGGCAGCAAACTCCCTGCTAGATCTCCTGATTTGAGGTCTCGACCCATCAAACCAGGAGTGGTCGTTCGGAAGGTTCTCTTGAGAGCCATTCTCGGGCTGACACAAAGCAAACAGTTCAAATGAGAAGTACAACCAGAAGACCATGGTTGATTCGGACTCACCCTGAAAAGCGATCTCTAGTAATACTGAAAACCTGCAGATTCTGTGACCGCATGGCCACAAGGAGCTGCAGCCATGGAGAGCCCAGAATTCATGCAGGTAGGAAAGATGAAGGATGGTCTCTGTTCCAAAATAAGGCATCTCAAAACAAAACGCAAGACAACATGCAGGAGTAAGTGCACACACGAGTATGTGAACAACGAACACAAAAAAGGAAAACAATTCCAGAAAGGGCTAGAAGTATTTAAAGACATCCTCCCTAGCTTCCCACTGCCCTTGGACTGAAACCTTAGCAGCGCAATCTCTACTTTCCGCTCGACTGGAAAGGAGGGCAAAATTTGGTCGGGATTGTTGTTCCCATGTTCTGAGTCGCACGGCTGCAAATCCAGTTTGCAAGAATCCAGTTTAGACCCTTTCTTCCTTCTTTTGATAGTTAAACCTAAGCCTTCATTTGTTTATCTTTTAAAAAAGAAGTTAAACAGAACAGGCAGCTCCCAAGAAATTCACTTTATCCTTCCGAGAAGAAAGAAAGAAAGAAAGAAAGAAAGAAAGAAAGAAAGAAAGAAAGGGGGGAGAAAAGGATGTTAATGCCAACAGAAGCCCACGCTCTACTCTTCAAAGTTTGCCTTTCTCGCATCTTGCACTTGTCAAAAACAGAGGGGTGGTTCCCAAATGTGTCAGAATGGGAAGGTGAAGCGGTTCCGTGAAAACGTGGGGGAGGGGAGATTGACAAAGAAGGGGCTGGGGAGACCTCGATTTGGCCTTGCCCACCGGTTGCCCACAGTAACTATCACAGGCTCTAAAAGAATCAACAAAGGGTCTTCAAGGGCCCCACCCTCTTCCATGATCCGCTAAGCGGCCATGTTTTCTCCCTTGCGGTTCTTTAACCCAAGCTGGTGATATTGGCACGGCCTCCAGGGGGCGCCACTATGCGCTGCGTGGTACGGCGTGGAATATTATCATCAATCTGTGCACCTAAAGAGATTGGGGGGTGAGGGTCAGAAGGGGGGGAGAGAAACATGAATAGGGTGAAAAACTGAGCATGTACATAGAATTATTCATTTAACTGCATCATTCATTTAAGAGGCTCCATATGGTTTCTATCATGCAGAGCTTGAAATCTGGTACATCCTGAGGGTCTCTTTACATAATGAAACGAGGCTCCTACAGGATTAAATTCCTCTTAATTGCTTCAGTTAACCGATTATATCTACACTGACCTGCTATGAAAAAATAAAGCAGTAGGAAAAAGTGCACCATGCTAGTTTTCAGAAAGCATCCGCACATCTGCAACCAGCAGAGCCTCAGGAGAGACACCTGGGTTCTGCGTGAAATACTACAGAATGCCAGGACCTCTGGAAGTGTGATTACTTCCTTCTGGGAATTTGAGAGTGGGTGATCAGATTTAAATTGCACCCAACCCTGTGAGCGCCTGTTCCCAGGATTCCTGAGGATGTCAAACCTGCCTGAACATTTGCTGGAGCTTTTGAATGCACAAGTAGAAAGCCATGATCACAAAAGCAGGGGAGGATGCTCCCTGTTCCATCAAGCTCAGCACCATCTGGGCTGGCAAGGAAAAGCTCTCAGAAGGTTCAGACAGGCGTCTCTCCCCACCCTACCTGGAGATGCCAGGAGATGACCTGGAACTGTCTGCATGTAAAGCTCTACCAAGGAGCCATAGCCCTGCTTCTCAGGTGCACATGGGAACCTTCATCCACAGAGCCTCCTCCTCTCCCCAGATATCACAAACTCTTTATCAGCTCCATGGTCCTTCCATTTTCCATTCACAAGTAGCAGGGCCTTTTCACCAGTAGCCCCGAAGCTCTGTGTGAGGTCAGTTTCACCTATTCTGTCCTTTCTGTTCAGAGGGATGTAAAGACATTATGTCTCCTTTCATCTACCTGATCATTTTGGAAATGTGACACTACAACTCTAGTTTTATCAGGGGGCTTCCTTCTTGTGTTTTGCTCCTGGAATTTGTTAATTGGAAGTGGATTAAATTGTTCAGCTAACAGGACTTCAAAAATGGAGAAGAATTAATTTGAGAAACATCAGGATTGAGAAGGAGAATGCTTGTGCGCATATACGAGTCCACCGTTCAGAGCTTCTTGATCCATAAGCTGCAAAAACCTGGACTGGCAGCAACTGGTATCTCCAGCACAAGAACTGTTGTGGGAACACAACCAGGTCTCCCCAGTGGCTGCTCCTTCCTGCAAGGGAGGGAGGAACGATGGCCTTTCTGATGTTCTCCTTTCCCTGGCAGTCAGAAACCAATTTATTCAGGCATGGAAGCTGCTCTATTGCTGAAAGGTTTTTAACCGGCTGGGTGCTATTTCTTTTATGGCTGTGGTTTTAATGTTTTTTAATTAATTTGTCTTTTCATTCAGATTTGGTTTTTTAAGCTGGATTTTATTGTTGGCTGCCTTACACACCATTTTTATTTTGGCTGGGGTGATATGAAATGTAAAACATTATCTTCAGGAGGCAAAGGTCCACGCAGATAAGCATCACCTGGTGACTGCAGAAGTCACCCTCTCTGGCAGGTCAACATTATCTTCTCTTAGGCAGAAGGTTAGGATCACTACCCTCACTGTAAAGCAGGAACTCTCCCACCACAGCCTAGATACATATCCTGTAACATACAGCCGGATGGCGTCAGTATCTAGGATACTTCTCCGAATTGCAGGCATTTGGTCTGCTGATAAAATCACCCGAATTCCCATCTGTAGGGATGGAGAGAGATCCACATGAAATGCAGGAGGTCACGGCCTAAGGCCTCCTCCTTTTTCTCATCGGCCTTGGAGCAAAGCAGGGGTGCAGCACCGAGGGACAGAACAGTGCTCCGAGGAAAACTCCCACGCTGAACGTGGGCCGTCGGACCAAGTCCCACTCTTGAACCCACTTCCTGGAACAGGAAATGCATTCAAAGACTTGTCCCACCCTGCCTAATGCCTATAAGGAGATCGCAAGCCCAAGACCAGTAAAAAAGAAGATGTCACTGTAACCGTTTATGTACCAGACAAGCTAAATCCAGACTGGTGCAGGTTTCTAACAGGCGGGGCCTGCTGCTTCGCAGGAGACGTCTTGGCTGAGGATGCTGGTGTGACTGTTTTTGGAGTCACCGACACTTCGCAAACCGGGCCGTCGTACAGGCCACGAGGAACCCCCCTCAGCTCAGCCAGCTGGGGAGAAAAAAAAGCAGAGAGAGCTTGCAACCAGGTAGGGACCACTGTGCGAGACCTGAATACATGCTTTCCAGAGCGCTGTGGGATATTGCTCTCTTTGTGACCTAATGCGTACAAAAGTGGGACAGGATCTCTGCGAGAACCCAGTGCACCAGATTTGGGCCAGCACTTCTGTGCACTGAGAGCCACAAAGACTTGGAGGATCCTCTGTTGGGCACCACATGCTGGCTCTGTGCGGGGCCACAGAGGTGCAAGTTCTGAGCAAACGGGAGTAGGGCCACCCACATTTCTCGCTCTTCTTCTTCCCTCTTCTTCCCCTCCTCATGGGCTGCAGTCTGAACAACTTGTAAGCACAGGGCTTTTGGAACGAAGCCAAGGATGGCTGCCGACCTGTTTACAGACACGTACTCAGAAGTAGCTCCCATTGCATTTATGGGATTTACTCTCTAGTACATGTTGTTTTGGATCACAGCCCTGATGTTTCATCCTGACAATGCATCAGTCCCATCTGCAATGTGAAGCAATCTCACATGCATTGCCGGGAAGGCAGTCCTCCCAAAATGTAGAAAAATCGCCCAGCCTTTCTCATTGCTGCTTTTGTAAGTTAAAATAGGATTTTATCCAGCAGAGGGCACTGTTTGGAACGGATCCATTTTGGCTTGGGAGGTTGTTTCTCTTCCTAACTAGCCAAGAGCTACAGTCACACCAAGGGGCAATGTCAAAACACCACTGAATTCAGTGCGTCTAGGTTAATTTACAACTGGATTTGACTCCAGAAGACAAAAGCCAAACCCTGTTCTTGTGCTGCGGCCTGTGTGTAATTGCTTTCACAGCTGGTTCAGGCTCCTTTGCTAAAGGAGCAACTCTCAAAAGCTAGCCTAACAATTTTACCCAAGCTTTACCAGACTGGGAGGCACATGTGCTTGTCAACCCAGGCCGGCATCAAGAGTCGGGAGCGTTGGGCACGTCCCAAGGCCCCTGTGGCAGCTGGCGCCCGCTGCAGCCCCCATTCTTGCTGCTTTGCAGGTATTTCCTGCTGTTGCTGCTGATCCTCTCTGAGCAAACAAGCAGAAAGGAATAGCTGCCCACGCTCCAAAGCACTATTTCACCCATCAAGCAGTGAACAAATATATAGGAATCAGTCCCAAAAGGCCAAGTTCCTCCAAACTACTGTCGTCGTCGTCGTCATCAAGGGGGCCAGACCCACAACAGGAGGGAAAGGACAGGCATAGAACGCCACCCCTGGCCCCACTAATCTAATCTAGCCTGGGTTTCACCACAAAGCCACATGCTGGTTAGAAAGTCTTCCCCTAGTGGCAGAGGATGTTACTGCATAATTGTGTTTAAATAAAGTTAATTACTGGGTTTCACATACCCGTTTTCACCTATCTGATGGGTGCGGGGCAGGGATCTACTCCATGAAATCTTCTGCCACAAGAGATCTGGCACCTTTAAGGTGCCGCAAGATTCTTAATGGAGGCTTCTGCACAGGATCAACAAGGCTACCCCATACCCTGGAAGGTTAAGTTCTCTGATTCGCCATACCCCCGTATTGTTCAGCTTCCTGTACTCACCCGGCTCCTTGCCTTGATGCGTTTGTACACGAAGTCCGGGAAGGGTTTCCTGGCAATGTATCGGCCAGAGCCCTCGGTTGCATGCAGGTTACCATCTTCCAGCACTATCTTCCCTTGGCTGATGACCACCAGCGGTGACCCACGGCATTCCATGCCCTCGAAGACATTGTACTCCACTGACTAGAGGAGGAAAAGGAGAGTTACGGCCACTATGAATCAGGGCCAAGCCAGAATTTCTGCAGTAACACAGTCCCACGACCAAAAAGACCCCGTCTTTGGAATTCCACCCACAGATCAGCTCCTCACCAACGCTGTTGCCTTCTCTGTACCAGATAAAGACTTTTTCAGAACTTGCTCGTTCCTTTAAAGAGCATCCGTAGGTATTTCATATTACCAGCCCGTTTGTTTAGTTGTTTTAATTGTCTGTAAGATTTTTTCAGAGCTGGGCACAGTACTCCAGGTGGAACTGAGTAGAGGAAAGGGGAACTACTACTTCTCAAGATGTGGATACATCGCTGCTCTTTGACGTTGCTCATCTGCAGTTTCTGACTAACTACAATCCTGCGATCCTTTTCACATGCCAAGCCATCCTGAGTTGGTACATGTGTAGAGGTTGGGTTTCTGCTCCTTCCCCGTGCTTTCCGTTCCACTACAGCCATTCTGAATGTTGTTCCACATTCTGAAATCTGTGGCCTTCACTGTTCCTTCCAGTTTTTGTCACCTGAAGATTTGATAAGGGTTTCCACTCCCTCCCTAGCTAAATCAAGGGTGGGCAACCCGCGGCCCTCGTAAGCCGCCTGGGCCCATCACACGGGCCTTCCCAGCCTCTCCCTCTTGGCTCTTCTGCACCGCTGCAACGAATGCCATGGTCCTGCTCGAGAACGGGGTGCGGACACCGGTCTCTCACCCCAATAGGAGAAATGCAGGGCAGTATGGGCCCCCCCATGCAGCCAGATGGAATAAGACTCTCACTGGGACACGGCGCATTTCATCTGGCGCCTGCAGGATGGGCAGGGAGTCTCTCACCACCGAGAAAAAGGAGGTTGGCATGCCTTCTTGGGCAATTGCCACAGCTCTCTCTGATTGCTGGCATGCCTTTGGAGGGAATTCCTAAGCCATCCCCAGAGGAATTCCAAGAAGAGGCACAAGCAAGAGTGGCGTGTCTTCCGGAAAGGAGTAGGCTGCAGCCCAGAGTTTCTACCTGAGCTGCATCATCCCCTTGAACTACCTGGCTGAACGACCTACAAACACATGAACACTTCCTTCAACTGCACGCAGCCAAGAAAGACGGAAAGTGGCAGGTACCCATGCTTTCCAAGAAGGTGGCCTGCCAGTTCCTGGTCTTCTGAGGGTGTAAGGAGGCCAGGCAGTCCTGATAAACTTCCAGGGAATTGCGGGAATCCGGTTTGAAGAACATCACAGCCTATCTTCACTACGATTCTTTTTTCACCCAACAGCCTGCTGCCAACCCGCTTCCACCCTGCGCCTGCTTTCATTTCTCAGAGTTCTCCCATGACAGATTAATCACCCATCAGTATCAAACAGCATTTAAGGAAACCCTAACAAGGAAAGAAGCTTTACTGAGCTTTTTACAAGCTTCCAGCCAAAGCAGCTTTGGAGATCTTTGCAAAGAAAAAAAGGAGGAGGAAGAACTGCCTCCTTTTAGCCCAAAATGAGAAAGAGCATTCATGAAGGACACACACACAAAGAGGTCCTACCATGAAAAAAGGGAGGGAGGGATCGCATGGCTTTGCGCCAGTAGCTAGAAGAGATGTAAATAAGCCCACACAAGTTTGCTCTGCTCTCTTTCAGAATAGGAATTGTCCGTGCAACATCGCCTAAAGGTCAGTTCCAACATTCCCTTGCCTCCCACTTGCATCCCAGCTTCTCTGCCAGCGCTCTGCCCCGGACTCTGCAGGGGAAGAACAGCTGTGATGTGGGAGATTCACAACTGGTGCGCTTGATGGAATTTTCCCCCCCTTACAAACAGGCACAGAAGGCTGTGAATTTGTTGGAAGCGGCAGCCCTGGTTCCCTCTGACGTTTTTCCAACTGAGGGTTGGGGGAGCTGTTAGATGATTTAGATCAAAGGTATGCACCAAAGTCTCCTGCAGATGCTTTGCTATAAACCCTCTCAGCCCTGAACTCGGCCACGCTGGCTGGGGATGATGGGTTTATAGCACCAAATGGCTGAAAGGCACTGAGCTGTCTATCCCAATTTAGGTGAAGAATCTGCCTTATCCCAGGATCTGAGAGAGGAATGATGGAGGTATCGCAAGGCGCCTGATCCTGTCGGACGGAGATCCCAGGGACTGAACCGAGGTTGGACTGTACAACACCCAGAGAGCCCTAAACAGCTTTGGAGGAAGTATGTTGTTGCTGTTATTATGAGGCAGTAAAAATAAACTAACATAAATAAAACAAATAGAATCACCTGCATGTCAAGAAAGTGATCTGTTAACTGGGCCAGGCTCAGGTCCCTTACCAAACGCCCCCTCTGTCCATGCATTTTATTGTTTTATTTGATCTGATTTCTATACTACCCAATAACTGAAGCTCTCTAGCCAGTTCACAACATATTTTTTAATCAAATAAAAGATACAATATATTTTAAAATATCATTAAAATTTATAATACAGAATTTTAAACCATGTATTAAGTAGGTTACTGTAAGTTTAAGAAAAGCAAAAGCAGGGGTCCCTTCCAGTCCACATCCATTTCTGCAGGCTTTCGAGGTAGCAACCTGCTCTCAATTCCTCCTGGCTCCCTGCAACACTTTAAAAGTGAAAACAATTTTGTTGCCCCCTGCGTATTTTCTGGACTGCGGTTCCCATTGGCTATGTGAGCGAGAACTGATAGGAGGTGTACTCAAACAATATTTGGAGGGTCACATGTTACGCAGCCCAGCTTTTGAACATCCAAAACTGAGAAGTATTTGAAAACCCAAAGCTTCTACAAAGAGGCTCTCCAGCGCATCTCTGCATGATTCATGGTTCTAGCCCTGCCCTCTTCCCCTAATTCAGGAAGACCTCTCCACTGGAGGGAAATGAATGATCTAATGGCTCCTGATGCAAAAATGTGAAGAATCAGAGACTGAACAGCGTTCCCACAGAGGCAGAGTAGGTGGAACTCTGCACCCACTTATTTTAACAATTAATGCTTTTAGACGTTTTAGGATCCCCCCCCACTTTTTTCTCAGTTGCATTTTCTATAGTGATGTGTTTTATATTGTTTCAATAATTAAAGTTTTATATAGTAGTTTTATATTTATTGTATTTTTTATTTCTTGCAAGCCATGCTGAGCACTTGAAGCAATAGGATGGGGTATAAATGTACGTAATAAATAATAAATTAATAAATACTAAACTCTTTCCTGATATACTCTAAAGGGGGCCATCTCCTGGTTCAAGAACGTATTATTTTAAATTTTATTTCAGAAAGCACATCGACTTCCATCCAAAGACTGGAAGCATTCCTTTTAGGCTATCAACTAAACCACGGAGACTTTGAAAGCAGGAGCTTGGAATGTCTTCCTAAACTTTTAAGCAGACATGCTCACTTAACTAAAAAAGGCCTTTTTGTATTTCTCTTTTACTTACACAAGTGGCGATCACAGAGTCCAAGAGAGGAAAGAACAAAACAAGAGCCAGGCAACGCCAGGTCAGGCCCTCCTAGTCCTGTAATTTGATTCCACCGTTGCAAACCATGTGCTTGTGACAAGCTGACAAGCAGAACACAAATGCAGCACCACTGTCCTTCTGCAGAGGCCCCCCCACATGGGATGCAACCGTCATCACTGCCCTGCATACATTCGTCTGCTCCTCTTCTAAATCCACCCAAGGTGCTGGCCATCGCTGCCTCTCGTGGTAGCAAATTCCAGTTTCATTTAAGTTGTGTGTGAAGAAGTCTTTTCTTTTAACTTCAAATTAAATCACTCAACCAATCACTAGAGTCACTATTTGTTATTGTTTGTTTGAGTTGTTTTAAACTTCTTGGGTTTTTCTGATTTTATGAAATTGTCTTTGTACTGGATTGTCTTCTATGGATTGCTGTAAACCATCCACAGAGCTTTGGCCACTGAGTGGTACAGCAATGGAATAAATAATAATAAAATATTATTTTATCAGCCTGACATGGCAGCAAAAATACCATTCCACTTCATGAGATGACCCGGCTTCTAATGTAATAGTAGCGAAAGATAAAAACCTGCTTTCCACTAAAACTAAACAATGTATAATTTTCTATAACTCCACTGTGGGTCCCTTACTTGTCTTTTTTTGAGAGTTGCTCCAGGCTCTTGATCATTTTGCTTACTCTTTTCTACACTTTTTCCAAATCCCTTTTATATGCAGTTCTCAGAACTGCACAGAGTATATCGCAGGAAGGATAGCAATGTGAATATGCATAAAGACAGCAGTTTTATTTTCAGTTCATTCTCTGATCTTGTCTAATGTGGAACTTGCTGTTTTCCAGCAGCTGAAGCACACCTGCTCAGAAACTCCAGGGGCCTCCCACGTGGTCCTGGGCTCTCGGGGGCCCTCCCCGTGGCAGCTGCCTCCACAGAGTACTTCCATGCCTACGTCAAGGGCCATAACCCTGACGGGGAATGAAAACCAGGAAGTGCCAATGTGGCCTCTTGTTGGCTTTCCACTGTTCCATGGGGCAGAGTGGGCAGCGGAAATGGGGAGGGCCCTGCCAGAGGTGTCCTTCCCACTTACGGGATGATCTCCCCACTGAGGCCTGCCTGGCACTGTCCTTGTCCCCTTGGGCAGCGCTGAGGAGGCTGTCAGCTCCTGGTCCTTTAATGGCAGGCTGTTTGAGGGCAGTTTGTCAACTGCCTTGTAATACAGCTAGTGTTTTGTTGCAATGATTTTCAGCTGTTTCGGTCACTTTGAGTTTTGTATATTGCATTTTTGTTGCATTTTATCATCTGCAATTGTGCTTTGCAATTTTTATGAATGGCTCTGAATGGCTCGGAGAGCTTCAGCTATGGGAGAGAACAGAAAGCAAGCACCTCTATCCTTAGGGGATCCTACAGTGACTTACAAGCATATGAAGGGGTATCACACAGTGGAGGGTCATGTCCTGTTCTCCCCTGCAGTGGAGGGCAGGACACATTTGAATGGAGCAAAGCTCAAGGAACCGAGTTTCAGTTTGGATGTCAGGAAGTACCTCCTGATGGTTAGAACTTCTCAGAGATGGAATGGGTTTCCAAGAGAGGCGGTTGAGGCCCCATTAGTGAGGGTGCTCAAGGAAAGATTAGACAAACACACGTTGGGAATTACATGACCAGAGCTGGCTGAAGCCAGAGATCAGACTAGATGGCCCAGGAGGCCCTTTCAGACTTGTTGTGTTGCTTTGTTTCATTCATGGTTGTGTGGCCCAGTTCCCTGCCAATGCAAGAAATCTACTATTACAGACCTATCCCCGACCTGCAGGCCATCAAACCTCTGCTTAAGAACCTTTAAAGAAAAGGAATCCACCACATTCAGAGAAGTCTCTTCTCTGTTAACAGCTCACACAACTCGGGTGTCCCTCCCCACCCCAATCTTCCATTGCAAGAGGAGGTTTGTGCTTAAAAGAAGAGGGCATCTGCAAAAGTCACTTACTATGTTATGAGTCTTGGCTGAGATGGTCTTGACACAGTCCGGATCCCAAATAACAAGGTCAGCATCAGAGCCCACTGCGATGCGCCCCTTCCGTGGATACAGGTTGAAGATCTTGGCTGCGGTGGTGCTCGTCACAGCTACAAACTGGTTTTCATCCATCTTGCCAGTCACCTAATCCAAACAAAAAGGGAACAGTGGCCCCATTAGAAGCACAGAACCCACATACAGAGCTGCCTAGATCCTTAAGGCAAAAGCAGGTAACTCTATGTTTAAATGGTGCTAAACTATGCAGTATCATGTTCCAAGAAGTGGACTGCACGGACTCTTGGCTGAGTTCTCAGATTCGTGTCAAGGGGTCTTGAGATCAGATCATGATAAATATGTTATCACTGGAACATCTTCACTCGTTGCTGCTTATAAAAGCAATAAAGGCCCAAGTAATGGGGAAATGTATTTTCCTGCTATGTGAACGAGACCTAGCAAGCCTCATCTCTCACATTCTGGCCCATAACTGTCACAGCCTTGAAATCTGAAGCATCTACCTCTGATTTTGAAGAAACCTCAGGTCCTTGTTACATTCAGACTAGGGAAACAGTGGTTTGTTTAAAATACAGTTTCAGAACAAGCCAGGACCCAAAGCTTGAATTTTATCCTGGCTTGTTCTCACAAACCACAGTTGCCCAAGCATGGATACAAAGGGGGAGCTATGGCTGATTTAAAATTGGAAGCAAAAGTTCTGCAATGATTCCCCACTTCCATGCTTTGCCCTTAATTTCTAGCTAGGTACCTGTGCATTTGAACCAAGGAAGCAGTTTTCCTAGAAGCTCAAGACATTATTTCCCCCTGAACACACCACTAAGAAAAACCACTGGGCATTCTTGGGTGAGAAGTCAGTCTGCTCTAAACCCAGTATTCTCCCAAGGGTAAATAAATAAATAAACCAATTCCCCACCATAGTGAAGTGCAGGAAATCATGAGATAACTGGATGGATGCCCACAGCAGCTTACAGGTGTGGCTGATGCCAAGTCAAGTAAGTGAAATCCCCAAATGAGTCCCTGGCTGATTCAAATACTCCCAAAATAAAACCTCCAGACATTGTGCATCCATGTTACTGTCCAAATGGGTGTCCCTCATTACGACAGCAGTGATCAGCAGGTCCAGGGGAGCCGAACCTGGAACCGTCTAAATGTGTTGAAGCAGAACTCCCATCAGACCGCCCACCCAACCAGCACAAAGAATAGTAAAGAATAATGGGACTTGGAGACCAAAGCATTTGAAGAGCACCAGGCTAGCCAACGTCATCATGTCACATCAGCATGGCCAGCAGCCCTTTCCCCAAGGCAACGCACCACAGCTTTATCCCAGATGATGGACATCCTTTCCTCGGTTCCATTGGTTCCTTCAGGAATCATGGTAAAATTGTCCTTCCCAACAGCTTTCTGGGCAGTGTTGAAGGTACAGTGGCCACTGCCGGTAACCTGGAGATCACCACTAAAACCAAAATGCAAGAGATACTCCATGACCCACGGCCATCATGAGTGCTCCACAGATACAGACATACACACGCCAACATACACACTGCCCTTGGCTGCACGAGGCAAGCCCTGCTCCATCACACATTTCCTTTAAATCAGCCCTTTACTCAGAACCATATGGACTAGAATTGTACGCCAATGGGAGGGGGCCCCAGGTGAATGGCAGAGGGACCCCAGGCAGGGTGCGGAAAACTCTGGTCTGAAAACCCCATCCTGGTCATCCTGATCAGCCATACTGGCCTGGCGGTCCCTCTTCATAGACCGTAACATCCTACACTGGTATGAAGAATGCCCAGGAAATTTACCAATTTACCAAGGACTAACCCACAGGCTAAAACTGCACTGGTCTTGTCTGACTTTATGTATCTTCATGCATCTGATTTAACATCGAATTGTGCTAGATGTTCTAAGAAGTAAGACCAAGAAAGCTTGGCGGGGGCAGGGGATGCTTTCCAGAGCCTATGAGTGAGCAATCGGCGTGTGGGGATTCGACGTTAAGAGCCAGAGGTCTGCTGAGTGCGCCAGAGGGTGGAGATGGCAACTGTGTAATGTGTTCGGGCAGACAATTAGTTAACCCTGGAACATTCCCGCTCCCGAATGGAGGCCACAGCAAGAGTGGAACAAGGTATTGGCTTGGATACAGAAAACAATGAATGCTCTTCTCAGAGCAACATTCCTGCATCGCTATACCCACTTCAGCCACTCAAGGCCCAAGAAAAGCCATGCCTGGGCGCAGAATTTCTCTTGGAAGGCATGAGTGATGCACATGGGCCCGCACTGCACAGTAGCTGTGTGTGTCTGAGCTGCGTTTTCCTTCCTTTGCACATTCAAGGCAACAGACTGCCCCTTTGCAAAAGCGCGTGATTCACCAACGTATACTCAATAACTTCGTTCGTCACAGGATGTAACTCTGAGCACACAGTGTGGTTTGCTGAACCCAACTAACGTCCAGAAACCTTCCTTTTGAGTGTGCCTTTAGGAGGCAAGCACTCCCTTTCTCTGCATGCCGACCCTCTAGTTGGCTAGCCCCTCTCTCCCAATGCCAGCTCATGGGGTCAAGAGTCGTACCAGCTCCACCTGACTCTGAGAACTCCCCGTACCTGACAGCTGTACATCCTGGTGCTCCTCCGAGCCTGCCTAAGCCCTTGTGGGGGGGGGGGGGTCTTGCAAAAACTACCTCTGCTTTTCTCATCTCAGAGGCTCCAGCCCCACATTCCCAGGCCCTCTCTCCCTCCTTCTCAGATTGGCATGAGCTGGGAACACATGCCAAGAACAGCCCCTTCCATCCCCAACAATGTGGCCAGTGCGGTGAAACCATGGTGCCGAACCCAGCCATGAGATCCAGCACCATAACAACCCTGGGAGTAGATCAGAATGTGAGCTCTACTTCCTGCCCTCACTCTGAACAGGCAAATATTTTCAACCCATTTCTCAGCTTCTCCTCAACTACTGCCAAAGAGGAAGTAGCGGAACACGTACGTCTTGTTTGGATTCAGCCCTAACCATTTGTACGAGTCACAGAATTCTGAATTTCGACACAGAGGTGCAGACTGTACCTGTTCAAGGAGGTCCTCATCCTACTCACCAAGAGAGCAGAGAATTGAGAAAGTCCGGGGTGGTGGGGTCAGGGCTCAGTGGTGGAGAGGTGACAAAAGCCGCTGCTTTGGCCCAGTTTTTACTCCAGTAGTGTGATCCATCCGTGCCCAGACTTGCTGTGATGGGCTCACCATATACTACCGTGCCTGCAGATCAGGATGGCATGAACAGGATAAATGCAACCACTACTGAATTTCTGATTTCATGCACTTCTCCTGTTCTCCACAATCAAACTCAGAAATGCAAGCTGCATGTTTCTTAGGAAGGCATTCCCCATGGACTTGTTTACAAGGATGTTTTTACAGGAACAGGAAGTTTGGACAGCTAAATGGACTGAATTAAGGCTGGGGTAGGGCAAAGGTTGGGGCCTGAAGGCAAATTGTGAGAGAGAGTCCTGGGCTTGCTATAACTGGAGATCCTGCAGCCTTCACCTCTGTCCCTCTTTAGCTTAACTGAAACTTACATTTGGAGAAATAAGATTAGTGGGCAGTGTGAGACCCACAGGCCACATGTGGGTCCGGCTGCCCCCCAGTGTAGTCTCCACTGTCCCACCCCAAAGGGACTACTTTTACTGCTCTGTAACTACTACAGAGCACCAAAGGTTTTAAAACAGCTGGAAAACAAATGAAAGTTGACCTTTTCAGTGCTCTAGAGTCACTCTGGTACAATCAGGGGAGTAGAAATGAGCCCCTGCACCTCTCAAAGTTGTGCAGACTGGCCCCTGAGCCAGGTTTACAGTGCCAGGGCTCTGATGAGGAGCTTCCAAAGTGGCAAAAGAGTGCCTCTGAGCATGTACAGGGCTCCTTCCCTTCCAGTGGAAATCCACCCTGTGGATTTGAGGAAAGCTAGCCACGAGGCCTATCGGTTAGAACAGCTTACAGGTACTTTGTTCCCCTTCAGGTTGCATTTTAGTAATCATGTTCTACTGAGGTAAGAATCAACTTTTTTGCAATGCTGTGGTGACATCCCCCACACAGAAAAATGATCTCATTAATTTGAGTTTATTTAGACTACATCACAGTTCAATTCAAATTCTTTGGAAAGGAGTAGCATTCTTCAGTTTAGAACACCCACACGGAGAGATGCTTTAAATAGAAACCGATAAAGCTCATGAGGGAAAAGAAAGGGAGAGAAAAACCGGAGCTGTTTGAATAGCAATTCCCTCAAGGCTGGAATTCAAAGGAAGGAGTCCAAGTAGAAGAATGCTAGGCTAGAGCATAACGAGATGGCTTATTTGGGCCACGTCCCCCAAAGCCTCACATGCCAAACCAGGGGACAATTGGCAGAGACGAACGCCAGCAGCTGCCGCCACAGGTGCCACTTGAAAAAAAACCACTTGGAACCCAGCATGAACATGACAGAGGGACATTGCGTAAACACGCGCATTGACCAGACGAGTCACATCCTTCAGAAAGCCGGGATCGGGTACCACTCCTTGTTCATCCCACCCGATGGCAAACCTGGGCTGCTGTGACAAAAGGCACAAACCGGTCCCTAAATACAGCGGCCTGGGAGTGTCAGGGCTCGTGTGGCACCAGCCTTCTACATTTGGTCAAAGAGGAAAAGCCGCAGCATTTGGACCACTTTAATGGACCATTCAATTCACTTCTCCTGCATGCCCCACTCCCATGGGCTCGAGGTCAAGGCTTCTGGCTTCCTCCCAGCCACTGCTGCCAGTTTAACGGAACTGCTTAACACCACGTTTTCCAGACGCTCCTTCTTGGCACGTGCCTAGGGCCACAAACGCTCCTGCTTGCTTGCGTCGTCACTCCACAGACTCGGTGCTCTAGGTGCATCCTTCTTGCTGAATTTCTATCGCTTTGATATGATCTGTTATTGTTTTAGTTATATCACATCATACGCTGCAGCAATGCTTGGAGTCACACTGACAGGACTGGTAGATGGCACCTTTCCTGCAAAAGACCTCAAGGCAGCATACAACCTTGTCCCCTCCCTGTATTTGTCTTGCAACAGCCCTGCAGGCTCAGGGACCGGTTCTTCTGCAACAAAGGGGCTCTTTCAGGATTAGTTCCTCCTTTTGCAGGACTGTCCTTTCTGACAGCCAGCCTCTCATTGCTGAATCCATGTCTTACTAGGCATCCTGGAATCTTCAGCCTTATGCATGTGTTACTCAAGCGTAAAGTACTCATGTGTAGGAGCGGGACCATGCCCTCAGTGTTGCAAGCTGGTCCCTGCTCCTGCTCCAGCCCTGGGCACAGAGAGGAGCCCCTGTACCCCTTTGGGATACAGATCCACTTTCAACCTAAGGGCCGAATTACACTTTGGGGGTACACATTTGAAAGCAAAAGAAATAGGGCAAAAACACAACCAAACCCTCCATCCAAAAAGCATATTTGAGCTTGGGCCGCCGACTGCCAGTCACTAAGCTTTAGCAAAGCAGCATTTCAACCTCCTAGAGTTGCAAAAAGACTGCACAAAAGCCAGGAAACCAACATACAATTGATGGTTGGGAGAAAGGGCTGCAACCGTTGTTACTTATATTCAGTGCTTTTTTTGAAAAAAAAAAAAAGTGCCGGAACTCACATCCCTGCCAGCAGGAAGCACACACACCAATCCCAGGCCAAGCAGCGGAGGAGCAGCGTCCCAAGCAGCTCTCTCTCACTATCAGACAGCAGACACAACAGCAGCCCGCAGGCACTATGTTAATGATGTTTGCTGCTGATCTGCTACTTCAAAATCACTTCGTAAAATCCACTGAAAAAAAGGTGCCGGAATTCCGGTGCGTTCTATTACAAAAAAAGCCCTGCTTATATTCAAATCTCACTTTTTCCTGTAAAAAACCCAAGGCAGTATCCATCATTCTCCTTCTGCCTCACTCCATTTTATCCTCACACCAACCCTGTGAGGTAGACTAGACAGGGAGTCATCCAGGAAGCTTTCCAGCCAAGTAGGGACTAGAGCCGGGATCTCCTGAGTCCCAGTTCAGTAACTGCCATGCTACACTGGCTCTCCATACAGGTAATCCCTGGAAACATGAGAGGAGCATCTTGGGCCAGCAGATTTGGCCCAAAGGCTCAACACCGCCACTCTGCATTTCAGCAGCCTGCATGCAGGAGCGCCACGCAATTGAGAAAGCGGATGCACAGATATTCCTGCACACAAACAAGTGCCGACTGGAATCTTTTTTCAGGGGCCTGTACTCAATGGGCCGAGGATATTCTCCAGTACCTGCAGAAACTTTTTATAAAGCCCAACACATTTCAGAAAGGGATCTTCAGGGGCCATTTGTCTTTCTCCAAATACGCCACAGACAATCTTCCTCAACAGAGATGGAAAATCCTTTCTAAAACATGTTGGGCCCAATGAAAAGCTTTTTCCAAGAACCTCAGAATTTCTCCTTTCCTGTTTTACAACGTTTTATTGCTTGCGCCTCTTGCTGCCTCCAGCACTCGATGGCAGAAAAGCAGCCTAGCGAGCCGCCAGATGCAGTGCACACATGAAGAAGGCTACCCTCTGCTTGGCATCCGGAGGCAGTAAAACTCGCCCCAAATTTATCTCCATCCAGACTATGCCTGTCACTAAGCACCACTGTTATCCCAGTTCTTATCCACTAAAACAATAAATACCAAATACTAGTTCCTGCCAGCTGTTGTCCCATCTGGAAACCGAGTTTATTTCTGGACAGGTGACAGCAGGAAGGGATCCTGGAGAAAAATGCATCAGAAAACGTGTGTGGGTGGTGGTGGTGGGTGATTTTGGAGAAACGATGCAAGACAGTGTTGACGAGTCGGCCTACAATGTGATTAAAGAGAACTAAATGCTGGATTACTCATTTGTATTTGCAAACAGATGTTACCAAGGTGACTGGCCAGGTGGTGGAACAAAAAGGGGAAACTTGGACTGGAAAGTCAACGTCCCAACAAACTGCTTTTGGGTAGCACGACAAGCCCCCACCCCCTGAAAGCCAATTACTCAGAAAGTTAAAACCCAGACAGCAAACGCAAACCAAGGCAAGAGGGACCCATACAACTTTGGCAAGGAAACCAGAATGGAAGAATTAGCAGGAAGTTTCCATCACGCTTCTATTAATAGGACTTACCCTTTTTCCTGGCCTGGGCAATTACTTCAGCTGCACTTTTGCTCATCACCTTGGTGACATACAAGGGGCAATTGGTCTGGTTGGCAATGGTTATTGCCCGGTTCACGGCTTCGGCCTCAACCTACAGGGAAAAGAGAGTTCAGATCTGCCTGAGCACAAGGAGAGTGTCCCCCGCCCCCCCTCCCATGCAAGAAATGTCTTCCGTGGTATGTCCCCTTTGAAAATGAAGCCCGAATGGAATAAACAGCAACCTGCAAGCAGCATTTAGGAGCAAGCATGGAGACTATCAGTGGTGCAGTATGGATTCTGGAGTGGAGGGTTCATCCTGACACCCCCTACAGCCAGGCCCTGAGGAGCAGCGGAAAATCCAGGCAGCTGTGTTGAGCTGGTACCAACAAACCAGTTCTAGCCATGAGCATTCCCAAAATACTTGGTGGTGCATTCGGGAACAATGTACCGCTGCAGGAAAAATGCATTTCTCCTGTGCGACCTTCCAGCAAGGCCCCAAGGGGACAAGGGGGAACTGAAGGGCGTGGCAGATGAGAAAGGGGTCCCCAAGAACCCAAAAGTGCTGGCGCAGCAGCCCTGTGAGCCTTGCTCGCATTGTAACGATGCCCTGCTTTGAAGATGAAGGCCTAAAGGATTTAAGCTAAGCAGCCCGCATCTTACACAGAGACCACTACAAGTCTGCAAAAGAACAAGCAAAGCTTGAGGCGCAAGCTCACCTCTTCAGGCCTGCTCAACACGTGGCCTTCAGGGCCAGTGATTCCCAGTTCCAAGATCCTTTGCTGCTCCTGAAACATAAAGAAAAGGAGCACATCCTAAGCATATCTCGTTGACAACTGTTACAGAACCTACCAAGAGTTCTGGTCTACATAGTCCAACCCCATCACCACGCTGATGGCTTCTAGCAACCTGAACAGCATGCATCCACTGGAAAATAATTGTCTCATGTAAGGATGTGGATTTTTTTTTTAATTCCATTCATTTTCATTATTAAAGACTTTGTCTCACTATTTATTAACTTCACCGGGGTGGGGAGACCCTGAGGGCAGCAATACAGCTGTTATCAGCACTTGCCTTCTGGTACCCAGGATTTGATTTTCCTGTAATGCTCCAGATGCAGCATCATTCCAGGACATTTGGGAATGGGAAGGGAATGGCAGCCCAGCTGGAGGTTTCCAGTCCCCCACCCCTGCAGAATTCTCCACACACCAGAAATCTGAGCACAGACACACCCCTCTCAAAGGACTGAGGAAAGGGAAAGCAAAACCACAAAGTCCAAGTTTACCTACCCATCTCTTGCTCCTGGCACTTCTTCTGTAACAAATTAAAATACAACCCTTTGGTTTTGGACCCAGCCTCTGGCTCTGCCCTGGGGAGCATCTGCAAAATTCAGTTTTGACCTCAACACCCTTCTTCCACGCTTAAGCCTAGATTGGAAGCTCCTTGGGGAAGCCATTTCTCTTCTTTCCTCCTTATGGTACTCTGAAAACCAGGTTAGACTGAGGTTGGATGTGCGTAGAATTGGCCCATCTCAAGCTCATTGAAATTGCCCAGAAAGATTCATTGTCTAATTCTATGGAGGAGGAGGAGCAAGGGAGAGGACTTGGAAGGCTGCAGGTCCTCAAGCTTTGGAAGAACCAGAAAGGCTTTCAGGCGGGCAGAGGAAGGCGATGCAAGATCCCCATCCTTGCCCCAGTAAGGAGGCAATGAGCGAAGCAGCTGCCCCAACTAGGGGCCCTCCATCCTTCACACCATCTAGCCTCAAGCTGCAGGAGCCACCCTGAGGCTTCACTGAAAGACGGGGACGGAGTGGAAACTGCCAGCTTGGATGCAGTCCTTCCACGGGCAGATGCTTCTCCCTCAACTTTGGCAGAAAGCCACTTAGCGTTCACATGGTTCTGTAATCTATTAAGTTTCAGCAGAAGAACAGCATTCGGAAGATTTTCCTGCGTGAAGGAAAGAGCGAAGGACCTGCTCACAGCAACGGGCCCTCGTAATATCACACATTCCTAGAAGATACCTCAGCAATGATGTCACCATTCTCAGCATGGACCTGGGCGATGGCACCGATGTCACGGATCACGCTCAGCACCTCGTATATCTAGAGAGAAAGGAAATGCAGTGTTTTTTCCTGAACGATGCCCCCAATTCTATTGCTTTTTCTTAAAAGCTCAACCAAACGTACCCAAGTACAGATGTCTCTTGGACTCAACAGAACTTCATTCCAAGCAATTGCCTGGATGAGTCAATATATTTCTCAAGTTTAGTAAGAGATTCAAGACTGGGCAGTTTCTCAAGTGTGTGTGTGTGTGTGTGTGTGTGTGTGTGTGTGTG